AACGTAATGCTCAACCCGATACGTTTTGGTCTCTAATTTAAGACATTCCTGCTCAAGTTCCTCAAGAGAAGTGACAACTAGAAGTTGGGTGGTATAAAAAGGTGACAAGTTTCGAGATAAGATATCCAACTGTGTTTCCGGTGTCAATCCATCGTAACGCCTAAATCAAGCCTGCATACATGAAAGGTAGTCAACAATGCTTTCCGAAGTATCTTGAGTGCGCTCTAAAATTTCCCTGAAAAGTCTAGGACGGTAATCGGGTGGTTCGAAGTGACGTCGAAGCAACTCACATAAGGTTTTCCAGCTATCGAATCTGTCACGGTTTGCTCTATACCAATTTAGAGTTTTGCCTGAAAATAGGTCTATGGCACAATCAAAGAGTTGGTTTTCCGTGACACGACGGGATTGACTTAATTCAGCCACTCTCTCCAAGAAGTTATGGACAGACAATTTGTGGTCGCCAGAAAATTTGAGGTTCCACTTTTCCAGATTTAGGGATTTGGAGTTGTTAGGCAGAAATGATACTTGTGGAGGAAATCGATGGTGGGTGGAGTTATGCACTATGCACTGGAGAACATACATGAAATTCATCAGCATCAAGCTGTCGACTAAGTTCAGGATCAGCTTTAACAACTCTCTCTAAATGATCCAAAGCAGCCAAAACGTCAATGAGTTCAGTCCTCTCAGACTGTTCTTCCGTCGACAAAATAGAATTAGGTATTCGTTTTACCCGCTCAAGCAAATGAACTAATCGTGACTGGGTGGAAATGAATTTATTTTGACTTGCCTCACCTGATATGGTGGGAATGACAGTATTAGCTTCGTCAAGGAATTGCCTAATGTGAACTTTCTCATCACTGAAGTCAAGGGAATATAGGGCAAAAGAACATGCGCCAGACTTTTCCAATTTTAAAAGTGGTCGCAATATAGACCTTAATTCGTCCACAGTCTTGGTATCACTAACTGAGACACCTCGAACAGTAATCTCATGAATGAGCATTTCCTTTTTAAGGTACGAGATAGTCATTTTGTAATCCATTTTGTCTTATCAATCAATACGGTAAGTAATCAACAATAAAATAAAATAAGAATAAAGATAATTATACACAGGGATTCGTAATACCTGTTACCCAAAAGTAATTTTTAAAAAAAATAGCAAATTTACTTGATAAAAGACAGAGTTGACAACACTTATGCCCTTGCCAGAGGACCACAAGTTAGAAATGGTTGATGGACTCTTTCATCATAGAATTAAGGAAAAACTTCTTCGGCATAGTTTCCAAGACTTCTCAGAGACGATCGACAAATGTAGAGCAATCGGATCCAACATCGCTGAATCCAACGTGAAGGTGACTTCCACGTCCGTTGCAGAAAAGCCCAAGGACCGGTGTGCATTTTGCAAAGCATATGGATATGTGTAAGCTGTTTACAGAAAATTTAAAGCCAAGTCTGCAGGGAAAGCTTCGTCCGCTACTTCGACCTTAACAGTCCGATTCAGTAACCCGTCCTCCACAAATATAACATGTAATGGTTGCGGTAATCCAGTCGAGGATATATTCGTTCCAAATTGTCCTCAATGTAAACCTGCATCAACAACTATTTCATCTATCGAAATGCTCGTTGCTGATCTCGGTGAACCTTCCAATTTGTTATCAACGTTTGATGGTCCGGCTTTAAGACCCATGATACCTGTCATCGTTCAAAGTAAATCAGGTTTGCTTTTGTGGATTCCGGAGCAAGATGCAGTATTGCAGGTTTAAAGTTGTTAAGCCACTTAGATGCTATTCGGTATCCATTCAAGACTGCTCCAATAAAACTAGTATTTGCTGATGGTATACTCCGAGAAGTTGTAGCAAAGATGTACCAGTGTTCCATTGAAGTTATGAATAAACAACGAAAACAGCAAATGATTGCTGTTCCAGACTAGAAAGACACTGAGACTTTAATTGATATTGATTTCATATTACAATTCGATATAGTGCTCAATAAACCTGAGAAGATATACTATTTCAATAATGATCCAAGTAATTCCTTGCTATTACAGGATGAAGTTATTGATTCCAACGCAGGTTTGTCTATTGTAGCTGAAGGGAATGGGTGGCCGACTCTTTCTAATATTGAAGAAGGCACGTTGAAATTGCTGTTTGAACATAACAAGGATTTGTTCAATGGAAATACAGGAGTTACTCCATGTGCTGAGCATACCATCATCCTCACTGATGATATTCTCCTAGCTGCACCACCATATCGCTCATCTCCTGCGAAGAAAGAAGTTTTGCGTCAGGAGCTTGACAGACTTCTTGCCAGCAATATCATTGAAGAGAGCGAATCGTCGTACACATTTCCAGTCGCCGACTGAATGCTGTCACCAAGAATGTTCGTTACACTTTGCCTCGTATAGATGACCTTATCCATTCAACTGGGAAAGCTTACTACATAACCACCAGACCTGAAGAGTGGTTATCATCAAGTACCTGTCATAGAAGAAGATCATGATAAACCCGCCTTTGTCACGGCATTTTGACTTTATCGGGGCCGTGGATTGCCTAAAGGCATCGTCTTAGTCTTTTGGTCTATCCACGGCCCCAGCAACGTTTCAAAAGCTAATAAACCGTTTTTGTTCAGGTTTGCCGCATATCCAGATGTAAGGATACCTTGATGACTAAAAAAGTTTATCCACGACTTTTGAAAAACACATCAAACACTTGAGTGATGTTTTCAACTGTCTACGCATTTACAAGTTAAAGGTGAACAAGAAGAAATGCACTTTTTGTACTTCAGAAGTTAAATATGTTGGTCATCTTATTAGACGAGATGATATCAAAGCTGATTCCGAAAAGGTTGCAGCAATCACCCATCTTGTCGCACCCAAGAATGTGGAACAAGTTCTCAGTTTTCTTCAGACTTCTTCATGGTTCCGTAGATTCATTCCAAACTTTGCCAATGTCTCCAGACATTATGCGCTAAGTAACTTGACAAGGAAGAATGTGCACTGATCGAGAAGCCCTTGCACTTGTCAACGCAGTCATCAAGTTTCGCGAATACCTAGAAGATTTACCAGTTTATGTCAAAACTGATCATCAACCTCTTCGATGGTTTATGTCATTAAAATCACCAACTGGTAGATTGGCCCGATGGGCCCTTTAACTGCAAGCTTTCGACTTCAAGATTGACTACATAACCTGACGTACGAATGTCGTCACAGATACATTATCAAGACCACCCATTGACTCGGATAACAATGACCAGTCACTAATAGCTGTCGACACAGTTACTATTTTGCTACCCAATAAATCAGCTGCAGAGACCAGAACCCAGCAGTTAGATGATCCATACACTAGGAGTATTATCGACTGCTTCGAGAATGCTGATTCTGATACTGTCGACTTTGCCAGATGGACCAATTGAGGCTACCTTATAGTTCAGGGGATTTTACACCGTAACGTCAATGACTCCGATTCTGATGATGCCCATTTAGTTGTTCCTCAAGGTCAAGTAGGGTCTATACTTCATGAGTTCCATGATTCTCCACTTGCAGGACACTACGGCGTTGACAAAACTCTGAAACGAATCTCACAAAGGTTTTACTGGCCGACGATGAGAAAAGACATTACTGAACCAAAAATGCATAGAATGACAGAGATACAAACCAACGAATCTTAAGCCTTCTGGTTTGACTCAGACTCCTGTTCTGGCTCAGCGATTTGATGCCTTAGCTATGGATTTATTTGGACCACTGTCTGAAGCATGAACAGGTAAAATGTGGGTTTTCGCTATAGAAGATACTGCCACCAAATATATAGAGTTATTCGTACTGGAAAATGCTACAGCTGAAGCTTGTGAGAAATGCCCTATCAATGAAGTTATTTTCAGATATGGAGCACTCATAAAAGTCATCAGTGACAATGGCACGCAGTTTGTCACAGATGTCATGCAACAAGTTGCTCACTGCTCCGGTTAGCAATAATCTTATAGTGTTATATCATACAGCTTCCAATCCTGAAGAGAGAAGAAACAGAGATCTGAAGAGCCAATGAGCAATACTTGTGGAAAGGGATCATACGAAATGGAAAGAAGCCTTGCCTTTTGTGAGATTTGCAATGAACTCTGCCAACAACTTATCTACTGGTTACAGCCCTGCCTTTTTATGTTTTGCCCGTGACTAAGAACCCCGCATGAAGTCGAACGTTATCTCTGAGCTATCGTTAATAACGAGAACTTCATTCCTGAGATCACCCCATGATTAAAGATTGTTGCTAACGTTAGAGAGGCAATTGAACTGAGAAAGGATGCGTTTAAGATGAATGTTGACAAGCATCGACGCAATGAACCATTCACTATAGAAGGAAAGGTTTTGGTCAACTCGCAGGTGTTGAGCAAAGGATCGCAGTCTTACACGTTCAAGTTCGCTTCTAAAAGAGATGGCTCCTATATAGTCCTGAAGATAATATCGCCAACCTCTTATTTGATTGCCTCCAGGTACTGGTTGGTACATACCATTCATCACCTCTTGCCAAGTAGGTACATAGGTGACGAAGATCTAGTTCCTGTTAGGCCTATTCGACATAGAGGTTGTCCACATGGTAAAAGGACTTCAAGGGTTCGACGACCCAAAAAGTTTTTTGACGATATCTAATTTTGTTGGAATTTAGGCGAGACTTTGCAAGTTCCAAAGGGGGAGAATGTAACATCTACACTTGCATTGCTATAGCCATAACCACTGCCATGTCTGACAAGTATCACCATTCGATCAATTAATCAGTCGGTCAGTTTCCCCGATCAAGTACATTATCGGTAATTTTGCTATTATTTTGCCAACTTTGTATTATTTCCAGTTAAATTGTTAAATGAAAACATTAAAAAAACAATGTGTAGTGCATAGAGTTGAAGTTCCCTTCGATACCCGCCCGCTGCACCTGTCCTTTTCACATATTCAAAAATAACACAATGTATGCAGTGAATAAATGTGACAAGCAATCAGTTATAAATAATTGTTTCAGATGGTACTTATTCACGATCCCAGTGAAGGATAAGTTCAGGGAGCTAGCACCTTGGTCCAACATCAACGATATTCCAAGGACAAAAACAGAGAAAGACAAATAGGCTAGGATTGATTTGAAGTTCGAGAAACTCTTTGGAGATTATGAATGCTCTCGTTATTCTATATCTAGAGCCTGATGTTACTCTCAAAAATATTCGCCAAAAGTGTCGAATATTGGACTGACCGCCAAATAGTTCGATTTGTAGGGTTAAATACTGAGAGAGCAAATAGATCCTTCAGATCCTATCGAATGAGAAATTGTCACTCGATATCAAATCGCACTGGTCAATGCAGACAGCTTGTCAAAAAATACATTAGGATGGGTTTGATGGGAACAATAGGAACGTCATAGATCAGAAGAGGAACGCCTACAATATCTGGCAAAGGACCAAATTCGACTGAATAAATAATACACTGAATACTGAACTCCACAAAATCAACCTATGGTCCCTCAAGAAAAGGTCAAAATCTCTTAAGATCTAGAGATGAGACTCAGCTTCTCAAAGGTTCAACTAACATTGGCTCTCGATGGCAAAGGCATTTTTAGGAACTCTTAATCGCAAATTCTCACGGGGATGATGACGTCTTCAACAAAGTCTCTCAAAACGCCGCTCAAAACCCTATTGCTGGAAAAGCAAGATTACCTGAGGAATAGTTAAGTTGCTGGTTTAGGCGGAGTTTCTGCTGAACTACGGACGAGCGCTGGTCAAATACACGCATAGATTTATTGCCAAAATAATGAACACTCGCAGGAGATTTCTACAGATTTGCGTGACATTTTAATCACCATATCCAAGAAAGTTGACAATGTCGAAGTTATCGAGGCTGCAGTCTACACTTACCAGGAGTCTTACTAACCAACTTCTTCCTATGGATGAAGCAACTCTTCCCGACAAACAGTGTGGCTTTAGACAAAATTTAGGTAGGGTGAAAAAGATCTCTATAGTGCAAGACAAATTGAAAGAGCAGAACAAAATCCTCATTCGAGTAGCACTGTGGAAAAAACTGTGAGGAAAACTATTTATTTGAAATATTAATTCTACAAATCTTAATTTTTTAAAAAAACATTTACTATATAAAAAAGCAAATGGTAAATGTTGCAACCTTGTATGCGCTGTGAAATTGATTGGAACGGAGGCGCTCTTCAGGAAAAGGTACCGAAGGGTAGAGAAGAGAATGGAAGACTAGAGAAGAAGGTTGTCCCTTGGACCGTTTGTCCGCCATTGTTCATTATTCAATTTTTATTTTGTATTAAACTGATTGTTCAATCCAATTTGTGAATAGTTTGTGTGTCATAAGGACCATTCACAGGTCAGTTGAATAAATGGTATTTTGTTTTTGAGAGATCAATTTATACAAGTATTATTTTTTCACTTTTATGTTTTTTGTTTGTTTATAAACTATTTTTTTATAACATGTGCATTGTTCATGTATTTAATAAAAATCGTTTCATGCTTAAACAACGCAGATAAAAAGTAAACTAAATTCTAAAGAAATTATGTGCTGTCTTTTGAGCTGGGATTTTAATTTTTGTTATTCAGAACGTGCATTAGGGCCTTGTTGAATCTACTAACACTTTCCTACACTGACGAGTGAATATCCTGGCAAACAAATTGAAAAATCAATCTACAGATATTCGCTCAAAATAACAACTATAGCTGAGTAGCCTCCCGTACGGGACCTCAGTACCTGCTGGTGGAACTGGCTAACTAACCAAAAACTCTCCTGTATTGAATATAGGTAGTTTTGATTGAATGTAGTGTGTGGAATTAAAATTCTAGCACAAGCACAGGGATGGTACCTAATTTAAACTTTCATTGACTCACAATTAATTATTAAAATGACACAGTATGTTTTGATTTTTGAGGAATGTTAGATTGAGGGTTTCTCTGCCGTGCTCTTTGAGTTCCAGGTCGAGATAGGTACGCTTCACTAATTTTTCGTTTATTTTACATATCATAACTACCCTCAAATTTCCCTAATATTTGCTATTTTTACAACGTAGGTCCTATTTGTTTTTCATTTAATTTTTCAGAAGATTTGTTGTTTAAAAGGTAATAATAGTATATTACATACCGAGTAGGGAAGTGTTTCATTACTGTCGAGAGAGTTATATAGACTATTAATCTCGAGACAGAAATGAAAACTTTCCTCCGAGGTTTGTATACTATTTTATTTGCAAGCACACCATTAATTATGATTAGTCAATCAATTTTTTTAATATTAAAAAAATAAAACAAACATGCCAAAATGTTTCATTCACTGCTGTGACGTCCTTACCTGACATGTTCTCATTGTTGCCAGCAAAGGTAAATAAATTAGAGTGAGGGAAATCGAAGAGAGAAGTGACACACGTAAAGTGTCACTTCCAAATTTTTAAAAAGTCAGTAATGACAAGATTACATATATGATTGCAGATAAAAATTCATACAGTTCAATCTTGCTGAACGAACCCGGGTATGTTATACTACAACTGACTACACTCAAAAAATACAGACGTGATTTTGGGGATATTTTGAGAAGTTTTATGGCGTTTCCGATTGGTAGATCTAGTGCGAAACTAGTGCAATTTTTTCTATTTCTGTCCTTTTCTCCTACAGGTCGATTAAAAGGATGCAAATACACTCAGTGCGCATTGAAACTTCCAATTGGAAACGCCATTAGAAAATTTTTTTAGCTACATGAATACATTTATTGTTTCGATTACATTCAATAGAAAAGATCATTAAGTAATTAGAAAAAATGAATCCAAAATTCACCCTAAATTATCCACATAGAGCCGTTTGTTTTTTCTTTGTAGTTGGGATTATTTGAAAAAAGGCTGGCTACTAACTGTTACGCAAAAACAGCATTTCTGTTGAGTAATTAACTATAATATCTGAATGATAAATGCCGGATATTGGTGCGGCTGAAATTATTGAGTACCTATCTATCCGCTAAAAAGTCGTTTTCTGCAATAATTATTATTTCGTGCTGTATCTCTTCGCATAAAAGGATTTTCACTGTATTTTTGTCGCAATTCTGTATTATAATTAAATCTGTGGAAAGCCAAGTTAGTAGTAACAAAAGTCATTTAATGTTACCTCTATAGATGGTGCCACAATATGTCCTCCGGTTAGTTGATGATGATGATGATGATGAGGTGTCGTATGCCTTAACATAACTTCGTTCAAGTCTTCATAGAGCCCAGTGGCAGCAGCTCCATCACAGTTATTTTGAGGGGAATTTTTACAAAGGAGAAAGTTTTGTACCCTTTTATGCCTGGAACAAAAAGTTAATTATTTAATTATGAAGTTGATATATTTGTGAAGGACTAGAAAAAAATTCTAGAACTAATGTAGAAAAAAAGTCAAGAAAAATTTGTTGTCGGGACAGCATAAATAAATATTTAAGTACGTACAATCAGAAAAAACCCCATCTCTGGAGTTTTCCCTAACATACACAATAAAATTGCTCTGCGAAAAGTTGATAAAAGGACAGGGACTTTGCAAAACTTTTTGGCTAAAAAAAGTTTAATTTTAATGTTTTTGGAAAAGTTTGTAGGTACCTTGTTGATTGATTTTGATTGGCAACAGGTTATTATAAGAAAAGAGAACTGTAGTGTAGTCGATTTTAATAACTGTATAGTGTTTCCTAAAAAGGGTTAAAGCTTCATTGGTATTTTCAGTTCATTCACAGAAAATTCTCAAAAATTCCTATTGGGAATTTAATAAAAGATGAACACATCAAGCGCATAACTGGCAGACTGTTTAATATTGATGGACCGTTTCTGGATATATGTGCAAACCAGCTGTTATGGTATTTTAATCTGAACTCTAATTTAGCAGTAGATTTCCTGCGGTCTTAATTGTCGGCCCGCTGTAATAAATTACTTGTGGTGGTTTTAATTAAGGCCTATCTGTCGTTTTATTTCTATTTTGATGAGAAGATAAAGCCATTCACGATAATTATCTTGAAAAAAGTATAAAGGAATTCGTTTAAAGACATTCCATAGTGTGAATCAAACCGGAATAATTTTGTCACTGGAGAATCATAAAATCACGTATATGTTTTGCCTTTTGGTCGTATAAATACTTACATGTGCGAATGAGATGCTTTTATATAGAGTAGACTTTTATGGGTAATTTATTACCAGCAAGTGTTAACAAGGATGAATAAAAAGCGATGAGAGCTGCTGCAATAATTTATAAGGCAATTTATTCGGTGAACGAATGGTGCGACCTTCTTTTTTGATATCGACTAAATCCAAGAAGACGCAAATATTTATAGAAAACTACAATTATTACTGTTCTGCAATCCATTAATTTAAAAGTTATTGCGTACTAAACAAACCAGTATATAAGCTGACTTCGAAAATAAACACGTTAATCCAAATTTTAAATAACGCAAAACAACTCGCCAGATTTCTACTGAATATGAATGACATCGTATTATCCTGGCTCTGAACATCATACGTCAACAGATAAATACGCGAATAAATAATAGACCTCTACTAACTCTCTGGATTGCTCTGTCGCCTGAGTTTAGTTGTTATTGTACAGTGCTTTACCATCCAGCACCATTTCGCTTTTACGGTAAACACTGCTATTTGTATAAGTTAGAAAACTAGATGCCGCAGCACAGTTTCAATATATTAAATTCTGGAAATTAATTAATGTTTGGATGCCTTGAATGTATCTCAACATTTGTTTTTATTTCCGCTTACTTGTCCAATGACTATGTTTTTATACAGGATGTCAATTTGAAAAAAAAAATTGAAGAAAGTATAATCGTAGAAACTGAATATCAGGCAGGGGGAATTTGAACTACCCATGTTTGGACATGACCCCTCGAATCAATAGTCTCATTCAGAACTATTATATTTTGTTTTTTTTATCAGTCTGGCCCAGTTTTTTCTGTTGTTGTCGGTATATACTATCCATAGGTATTTGTCTTCTTTCTTCAGCTTCAAGTAGTTTTCCAAACCTGCTATAGCGATATTGTGGGTGTTCTCGAGGCTTGTCATTTCTCTTCCCGCCTCTTTCCGTGGGATCAGCTCTGGGGTGAAGTTCTCCATTCATGGTAAGTAGCTTTCTTGTCTAACAATCAATTTTCCTTATTTCTTCTTTGGTTCACTTGATGATCCCAAAGCTGTAAGTATGTTAAGGCAGGTAGGTACTGCTAGAGATGTAATAGCTGTGGCTTTGTCTTTCTCTCGTTCGTCGATAGTATTCACATTTCATCTTGCTTTTCATTTTTCCATGCTGTGCTCCGTTATGCTCATCTATGCCTAGATATTTGTAAGCTTCATGTTGGATTGTATTATTGTTTCGTCAACTAGTTGGACATTCTCTTTCGCTTGTACATTCCCATTTAGGAAAGTTGTCTTCGCACATTTTTCAAGAACAAATTCCATTCTAATGTCGTCACTAAACCTTTTTACTATTTCTAATTGTTGTGATAGTTCTGCCTGATTCTTCGCTAACATATAGAAGGTGATTGATTTTCTGTTTCTCGTTGGGAGAAACCTGTCTATTCAGAAAAGTAGTGGTAAAAAGGAATCTCCCTGGTAAATCCCGTTCTTATTTCTAATACATTTAATGGCTAATGTAGTCGTGTTTGTTGTTAAGTTTAGATCGGTTTTCCAAGTAGCCATGGTCTTACATATGAAATTTAGTAGTATTGGCGATGCACGGTATAAGCCAGCTATATGGAATACTGTCAAACGCCTTTCCATAATCAATCCAAGCTAGGGATAAACTTTTACTACTTTCCTTACAGTCTTTGTGAATTGTTTGGCTTGTTAGAAGATGGTATTTGCATCCATAAGAGTTTTTAATGCTTCCTCTATGTTCTTGTGCGTATAATTTATTATTTATTAAATGTGCATGTAATTTTTTTCACATAATTTTTGTCAGGGTCTTGTATATGTTATTCAGACAGGTGATAGGTCTGTCATTATTTGGTTGTCCACTATTTTCATTTTTTGGAATTAAGTGTGTTTTTCCTTTGGTTAGCCATTCGAGTATGATGTGTTCTTCGTTTACTTATCTATTATATGCTGCGACAAGGTTTTTGTGGATTGATGTCAATTTTTTCAGCCAGTAATTTTATATTTTATCTGGTCCTGGAAATTTCCAATTGCGAGTATGTTTGATGGTCTTTGAGAGTTCTTCTTGTGTGATGTGATGGTCCATTTGTGTTTGTATTTGATTGTATCTCTCTGTTTCTGTTTTGATCCAGTTATTGCTATTTTTGTCTTATAGATGTACACTCCATATGTTGGACCAGAAATCGGTTAGTTCTTGCTTAGTAGGTACCTATCTCTGTTATGGGCTTGTCTTCATGTGGTAATATGGTTTTATAAAAATGCTTTTGAATGCTATGTTCGTATTTTTTCTATCGTTGGACTCTTTATATCTCCGTAATCTGCCGGCGTGAACAGCAAGTTTTTATTTCATGGTGTCGAGGGTTTCTGGTTCTGTTAGTGTAGCGTTATTTTTCATTATCTTCCTCATTGTTATTTTTTATTTTTCCTGACGTATTGCCCTTTAAGTGTTGAAACATGTGTCTTATATCTCTTCTTAGATTTTCAATTTTATTTTCTATTCTAGTTTGCCATTTCGGTTTATGTTTCACACTAACACTGAATCAGTTTAAGTTAAGTACATTTCCAGAAGAACATGAATTTGGCCATTTACACCATTCTATTGTTTTTTTCTTCGATCTGCGTTCGGCTTACGTACCTACTTGTTCAGAGCTCACTCTTCCTATGACGTCACGATATCTATGCTCATACCGTTCCGCTCCGTAGAGTGTAAAGCCGAACGAACTCATCCAATATAAGGTTGGTAGATTTTTAGTGATTTGTCATCTGTCAATTGTCAAAAAAAAACTGATTTAAAACTAGCATTATAAATAAAGGACCCCGTACACTTCTAATGGGAATTCTGACCGCGGTCAAATTTAACCAAGTTTAGTAAAGTCTGTTTTTTTTTTTTAAAGATAATTCCCCAAGTCAAAAATTTAGTAACTAAGTTGGCAACACAAGCCTTTCCTACATAAAAAATTTGAAAGCTTGACAATTTTACATTGTATTGCCAACATAATGTCATTATGACTTTTATCTTAAAAAAAAAATAGACTTTATGTTATAGATCACACCTTTCTGATCAATAACTACCATGGGCACAACTTAGGGCGGGTACCTATTATAAAACTACTTTGACAGATAACTAAAAGTCAACTTCTGGAATTTCATAGTTATTCCAGAAGTTAACTTTTAGTTCTCTGTCAAAATATTTTTATAATACCTAGCCTTAATCCTATGAGTATAGTTTTTGAGAAACAGGTAGTTTAATATCCAAGAAATGTATCTTTTTTATATACATTTTATATGCATTTACATCTACCTATCACCTGAGCGTAAGGATACCTGTCCATCCTGATATATTTTTAGATGACAGGTAGATGTAAATGCATATATGTATAAAATGTGTACATTTCTTGGACATTAAATTACCTGTATCTCAAACACTAGTCATAGAATTATGTTGTACTCAGGGTAGTTATTGATCAGAAAGGTGAGATCTATAACATACTAAAATTTGGTTAAATTTGACCGCGGTCAGAAATCTCATAAGAAGTGTGCGGGGTCCTTTAAAAAAGTATGTACCTACTTAAATAATAGCTTCGTTCGCAGTAACGGTTCAGAACCAGTTCTGAACGCTAAAGCACCAATCACAATAGAAAATAGCAATAAGTGACAGTCTAACAAGAAAATTTATTTATTGTGATTGCTTCTTTATCGTTCAGAATTGGTTCTGAAGAAGCTATTAGTACTAAGGTCAAGTTCTGGAAAAGTAAATGAGTTTGAAATTTTTCTTCGGAACCCCCCTCCCCACCCCGCGGAGGGGGGTGGGGGGGGGTATAGTGTTATGTTGGTTATTTGTATTTAGCAAAGGATGAGGATTTCGCTGAATGACGACTTGGGGCACCTCAAACCCCCTGCCGGACGCGATATCAGGCGCTGTCGCTCTGGCCCCGTTTGCGTCATTTCGTTTTCCGATGTTTGTTTTTTCTCCATTCTCATGGGTTTGCTGATTTTTTTCCACCCCAGAGGTATTTAAATTTTCCCGGTACCCTTCAGTCTGAGGGACTGACGAGCATCCCCATCGCCAGGAGCGGCTCCCGATAGCAGCATCAGTCACGTATTATTATTATTATTTTTCTTTTCTTTTTTTCTCGGATAAATCCGGATTACCAAGTCTATGTATGACGTT